GACAATGCGGTACCATCTCACACCTGTCAGAATGGCTATCATCAACAAACGACAAGTGTTGGTGAAGATGCAGAGAAAAAGGAACCCTCATGCACTGCTGGTGGGAATGCAGACTGGTGCAGCCACTGTGAACAGTATGGAGTTTCCTCAAAAAACTAAACATGTTGGAACTCCCATTTGACCCTGTGATCCCACTTGTAGGAATATATCCCAAGAAGCCAGAGACACTAATCAGAAAGGATATATGCACCCCTCTGTTCATAGCAGCACAACTCACCACAGCTAAGATTTGGAAACAGCCTAAGTGCCCATCAGCAGATGAGTGGATTAGAAAACTATGGTACATCTACACAATGATATACCACGCTGCGGTAAAAGAGAAGGAATTCTTACATTTGCAACAGCATGGATAGAACTGGAGAGCATTATGCTAAGTGAAATAAGCCAGTCAGAGAAAGATAAATATCACATGATTTCACTCATTTATGGAATATAATGACCAACATAAACTGATGAACAAAAACAGATCCAGAGACAGAGAAGCATTGATCAGACCATCAAACCTCAGAGGGAAAGTAGGGGAGGGTGGGGTTAAGGGGGAGAGATCAACCAAAGGACTTGTATGCATGCATATAAGCCCAACAAATGGACACAGATAACAGGGGGGTGATGGCATGAGTGGGGAGGTGGGAGGAAAATGGGGAGATAAGGACATATATGTAATACCTTAATTAACAAAGAAATTTAAAAAAAGAAAAAGAAAGCCAGTCCTCAGGTTCACGCTGTCCCTTCTGAGCTACTACTACCATGACCAAGCTGACCATGATTCTCTGTATTAAAGTGATCTACAGTCCTGGCTGATGTGTCTCAGTTGGTTGAGCATAGACCCATGCACTGGTGAGGTCACATGCCTGAGTTGTGGGCTGGTTCCACAGTAGGGGTTGTGAAGGTGGCAACCAATCCTTGCTTCTTGCTCATCCCTGTTTCTCTCTCTCCCTCCCCCGTCCTTTCTACATCTACTATCAATAAAAATATACATGTATTTTAAAAAACATACCTGCAGTTTCCTGATTCAGCTCACTCTTCACTCCAAGCCTTTGCACATTCTGGAACCTATGTCTGGAGGACCTCGCACTCATTACACTGGTTGCCAGAAACAAGGTCCAGGACATGAAGCCCTACTCTTGGCTTTAAGAGTCTGGGCTTAGTGTTTGTTCAAAGTCCCCAGGTCCAAGGGCTACAAGAGCGGCTGACAGTCCCACGACTCTACTCTCTCAGAGGTCACAAGTGTGTGACGGCCTAAAATAAGCTCCACAAACCCGTACAACTAATCGATTCTGCACTTGCAGGATTTTGTGGAAAGAAAATGGCCTGTTGAGAGCCTGGCACCCACCAGGCTCTATGGGCTCAG